AAAAAGGGAGGGTTTGCCAAAAAATGTTTTGCTTGAGGTAGCAAAAAACCTAGAGCTGGCTCTGGGGGAGGGGAAAGGGCTGGGCTGTGGGGGAGGGGAGGGGGAAAATACAGGGAAGGGGCTTGTGCTGAGGGGAAGAGTTTATGAGAAGAAGAAAGGGGAAGGCACCAAAGGACGGGGTGCAGGAGAGACAAATGCCAGGGGGCCAAGTACAGACATTGAGGAAAAGGGCAGGAGGGGAGGTGTCAGTGCGAGGATGATGCTGGGAGAGGAGCGGGTAAGGGCCCTGGGGACTAGAGGGGGGAGGGGAAGGTTCTGGGAGATGGCTTGAAAGAAGGGCTGGGCATGAGGAAGGTGGGGATGGAGCAAGGCATGTGTGAGGGCACAGGGGCATGAGGGGAACAGGGGCAGAGGGGAACAGGGGGTGGGTAAGGGCAGTGAGGGAAGGGGGAGGCACCAGGAGGATGCAGGTGCCAGGGGATTCTGGGGGTGAAGCAGAAGGGCAGACACCTGCAGAGGAGGGACCAGCACCAGAGGAGAGAGGCAGGGCAGGTGTGTAGAGGGAGGTGTTAGAAGAGGGGATGAGGAAGGGTGGCTTACATGATCAGAGTGGGGCTACTGGCAGAGGGGGGCAGGTCTAAGGAAGGCTGAGGGCAAAGTTGCTGCACCTTTAAATCGCCATGCTCCCCCCACAAGACATGGCAGGGAGACAACTGATGGAGCAAGGGGAGGAGACATGGCAGCAGAGAAAAAAGGTAGAGGTTTATAATATATTTATTAATAACTTGGGTGATATTTATTAATAACTTATTAGTAATTACTGTTCTTATTCTTATTAGGAATTTATGCCATTAAAAAAACACTTTGGGGGGGAGGGTGGCGAGTCCCTTTTTTGTCTGGTAAGTAGGTTTTTCCAAAATTTGTCCACCCCTGGTTATCTCCATGATTGGCCTTTGTCAAAAGTTTGACACAACTTTTTGCCTTTCTGCTGTATGCAGAGGTGGAAAAAATAGTGTTGGGGAGTGGAAGAGTTAGGGAGAAAAGGGAAATAATCCATATTTTGATTACACATCTGAGAGTAATGAACTCCCAATATTGGTGTCTTTAGGTACATTCATGAGTAGGCTAGGGGGGGAATTTTAAACTGAAAAGGCACTTCTGAGCATGCTCAGTAGGCATTCTTTTTTTTATATATAAATCAAGCCTAAGCTAGCCCTAGCCCTTTGACAGAACAATGCATGTTTTCATGTGTAGTTATATAGTGGCGGATGCTTTCTGTCAATATGCCAGGCCTTTTCTCTGAGAGATTGTAAATTATTTTATTTGCACTCAAACAAACAAACCTGTTCTTGTCTGCAATGGGAAGAAATTGTGAGCATAGGAGGATCTGATCATAATTGGTTTTGCTTAATTTTGCAATAATTTGCAAATGCTAAGCTTTCATTTAGATTTTTTTTAACCCCATTGCAAACCTCGGGCTATTACAGTGCAAACAGAGATGCTGCCTCATAATTCAGCTTTGCAGAAAACTGTCTCCAGCCAAACAATAGAAGCCTCAATGTTAAGGAAAACCTAGCCCAAGCCTTTCATAATTAATTCTGTTTTAAGGAGCCTTGATTTTAAAAATGAAGACTTGTAACTCATGAACTCCTGGGTCTATTTCAGGTCTGGTCTGTTATTTATTGTATGTAGATGGCACAGCTTCATGGCTCCTAACTTTCCTCTGTCTGACTTCAGGCAGCTTTTAACAACTACGATTCATTAGCTATCTGAAAATTGTGTAGTTGACTTCCTTGGGGTAGATTCAGGTTCTCTCTCCATAAGTTAATTGTGTGAGGCTTAATTTTTAATTTAATCTAGTCAATTTTTTAATTTTGTTTCTTGGTACTCCTGTTGCCTTGCCAATTTTTATGGCTTGAAATATTTTAAAGATACAAAATTGTCTCTCCCTTTTTGTTGTATGAAACACAATCAGGGAGAAACAACTGACCTGCTGTATTGGGGAGACATTGAAATGAACTGTATACAAAGCGCTGTCAAAGGTGTAGAGTAATATGCATTATTTTCTAATTTTTCAGGTCACTTATCTGAATTTTTCCCATCTCCTGGGGGCTCAAAGTATGCTTCTAAATTGACTCATTTTTTTAAATATTTACACAACATTTCTGACTAAATTGTACAAATGCTGATAGTTTCACTTTATTAAATATAAAACAGGAAAGTCAACTACACTCATGTTTAGAGGACGTGAAGCATCACTTTCTAAGACTTGCTCATGTCTCTCTCCAGTTTTAAAGTGCTAATAGACTCAATTTTCTTTGCATGTACCAGCACTCCTTTCCTCTAGCAAGTTGATTTATTTCAGTAAGTTACATGTAATAGACAATTGATTTGCATGGAAATGGCTATACATTAGTGCAGTAGTTCCAAAACTTTTGAGGGTCTTTCCCCCTTTACCTCTGTCCGTGTCCCCAACCCTCACTGGGGATACGAGTGGGGTTGAGGTTGTGAGGAGGAGGAGGACAGTAATGAGACTGACTAGGGCTGTGGTCACCAACACATCGATCGCAAGGCGTTCGGGGGGACCCCTCCATTTCATCCCACCTCCAAGAAGCCCCACTACCTACCTCCAGCAACAACGGAAGTAGCGCCAGCTTCCCACGGGGTGGATAAAAGTCCCGCAGCTGGGCACCACTTCTGGGGTTTCAGGAAGTGTGCTGGTTGCTCCACCTTCCCCAAACAGCTGGTGCAGTACTTGAAAGGCCAGGTCTGTGGTGTGCCAGGGACGTCCTTCCCCTGCGGTGGGGGGGAGGAGACAGGAGTTCCCTGAGAAGGTGCGTGTGGACTTCCCTCCTCTGCAGGAGGAAAGGGGGGGGGAGTCCTGGGAGAAGGTGCATACCTGGGACTCCCTGTTCCCTGCCCCAGCACCCACTGGCAGTCTGCCACCTGCCCCATCAGCCTGCCCCCACCTACACCCTATCCTCTGTGGCAGCACCCTGTCCCCTGCCCCTGCCCCCCCTGGCACCCTGTCCC